TAGCAATTACTACTATCGTCCAGCAGCTGAATACTATTGAGTGAAACACATCTTTCGTAATCTCCTGACTTCAGGTGGGTGTAGCTTCTGCTGCCGGGCACAGATTTCCGCTCCCCATGCCAGACGATGGTGAGGCCTGGCAGAGAAGCAGCAAGCCACATGCGTAATATTGCCATACACGCATGCGGACTCCTCGTTGACTAGGCTTGCAAGGTAACAGTGCCCTGTGGTCTCAGGCAAGCCCGACAAGCGCGTCCGCCTTGACAGCTGATCCGGAAGGATCGAGTCCTCTGCCCACAGTCAGGTCCTCAGCAGCTTCTCTAGACGGGATCGCTCTCTGCATTGTGTCGCATGCTTTGGCAAACACTATAGGTGCAATACAGACTGCAGTGGCTCTTCGGCTGGTGCGTGCTCACATCCACGACCGAGGACCTAGTAGCACAGCTGAGATCAAGCAAGCTCGCGACGGTTACAGGGCGGCATATTGATTCATCTTCCAGCCGGGTTCCACCTGGTGCGTGCCGCAGCCTCAGTGGCGTGCAAGTATCGGAGCTCCAGAATCGCCATGCACTCAGTGTGACATCGTCGCCTTCAGCCTGAGCAGCCACTCCCCTTGCCGTACGGTGACGAGGATCTAGACCCAGACTGGCGATGCATTCAAGGAACCTGCCTGCTCTAATCTAATCCTTTGAACATTCATCTCATTCCGGCACCATTGCGGAGTCGTGGCGTGGACTGAGTCCCCACGAGATCATGTGGTTGTCGAGATATGTCGAGATAATTGCACTTGGATGGTGCGCAGCTGCGCGTGTGAAAGTTTCTGTGTTGATGAGTGGGAAACTGAGTTTGGCCGGCAGCGCAAGGGCTGTTGTGCGTCGCAGAACAGCAAGACGTGGTTGCACAGTCCGCAGTGTTTCATTACAGCGTCTTGACAGTGCTTCCGCTCCTTCACCAGCCATCGCCATGTGGGGCTCCTCGGGCAAGTACGGTGCCGGCAAAGGCAAAGGCAAGCCGCAATCAGTCGGCTGGGACTCGTCGTGGACGGCTTCTACAAGCCATGGTCAGGACAAGGGATGGAGCAGCAAAGGCTGGAGCGAATATACAGGCAAGGGCCCAGGCAAGAGCAAAGACGCAATGGGTTCTGCCCAGAGCTGGAACGCCAACGGCTGGATGGATTCCACATGGGATCCGGCTGGTCAAGATCAGAAAGGCAAGGGAAAGACCAGAGACTTTGTCAGCAGGTTGGAGGGACGGTACTCGTTCGCGAAGGCCCTCCTTCGTCCCTATGCGGACGAGCATGGAAACGCAGTGTACACCGGCCCATCAGCAGCGGCCAAGAACACGTTCGACAAAGAGCAGCTCAGGCAGGGTCTAGATTGGCGGAACTCCGAGCTGGTGCGCCGACCGGCCGTTGGGATATCCACCATCTCCAGCTCGCTGCGAATGCTCAGCACATGCCTGGAGGCCATCCCCGACCGAACCTCCGGATCGGAGACCTTGGACAGCATGAAAAAGCTGGCCGACCTGCTCAGGGACAACAAGGGGCAAGACTTCATGGCAGCATGCGAAGTGCTTGCGAAGGAGCGCGCCGGCAACGTGCAGCCCGACAAGTTGGCGAAGGCAGTGGACACGTGGCTTTCCTGGTTTCGTGAGAACAAGAGCTTTCTCGCAAGCACGTTGCCAGATATCGTCATCTTTGCAAGTTCTCTGTACCTGGGAGGGATGCAAGCACTGGAAGCTGTCACGCTGGGAAACGCCCTGATGAATTGGTCGGGCAAAGTCCCAGTCACGACGGCGAACGAGACAACGCTGCTGGAGTGGCAGCATTCGCCAAAGGACCTGGCCAAGCTCAGAACTTTTCTGATAGCCGGAATGGACCAAAGGCGCACGGACAGCGCAGCATGGTATCGTCAGAGCGGCCTTGGCGGCGACAGCGATGAGGAAGCTGCAGCCTGGGGCGTTCCCGATGTGGCCAAGGCAGAGAAGCACAAGAAACGAGCCAGGTCCTCATCCTCTTCGTCCTCAAGCGACTCATCCGAGAAGAAGCGGAAGCGTGCAAAGAAGTCCAAGAAGGATAAAAAGAACAAGAAGGACCGCAAGGAGAAGAAGAGCAAGGCCTCCGCGGAACCTTCGCGCAAGGACCCCTGTGGAAAGCGTGTGTCGGCATTAAGGAAGCATAGCCCAGAGATAGTCTGCACAGAACCAAGAATTAGGTGCTACTTTGTCACAGAAGCCAGGGGTTCAGTGGGGCGCTTGTCATATCTCAAATGACAGGACGGAAGCGGGCAGGCTGGAAAAGACAACAAGGCAAAGCCGCCACAAGGAGACGAATGCGAAGAGGAAGAGAAGGGGCTGCCGGCCAAGGATGAAGACCATACCGGCTCGAGCTCTCCGGAGGCAAGATCGATGGACGCCGCAGACGAACCGAANNAAGTGAGGTGTCAGATAGATGCGATGAATCAGCAGCTTAGTGCTACCAAGTACAGAGAGAACTTGGTGGCAACAGGCCCATCAACTTGCGTGGGCCAGCTGTAGCTTCGGCGGGACCTGATCTGGGTTGGGCGCTTGAAGCATGTTAGAAACGAATAGAACACATATTGTAAGGCAGCTTCCGCTTACTCACTTACTTCCACACTGGGAGAGTTATGCAGACTGAGCTTAGTAGTATATCCATCCATCCGAAACCGAAGCGTTTCAACTCTACAGGTAAAGAGATGTGCCCAGCAAAGGTTCGCAAAAAAAAAAAAAAAAAACGCAGCTTGCCTCATAAATGTATATAACACTTTCGGCATTTACTCCACGTGCCAGCTCACGGCGCGGGCATGCCCCCGTGATGTCATGAGGCAGACCTCGGCTCGCGCACCCTTGACAAAAGGCCGCGCCTCTGAAAGTCAAATTCGCCTAGGATGCACGCAGGCTGTTGTGGCCTTCTGTTTGGCTGGTTGTTGTGGATCGACAGCATCTGCTTGTGCGGCTGCTGTAGAAGCTTGTAGTACACCAGTTGACATCGGAATAATCTCCACAGGCAGGAACCACTGCTTTCTGTGCACTCTTGGTATAGCATACTAGACCCCGACCTCTGACCGTTCCAGGTTCACTGCATTCATGCGCTGCTTCGCGCAGTACATCGTCCTGTTTCCATTGATGGCAACACTCGCTGGCAAAAGAAGGCAGGGACAAAACCTTGCGAGTTGTCACCGATGCGTGCCAAAGCCAGCAGGTCTGCGTCGTTATCGTCTTCATCGTCCAGCAACTCCTCGGCAACCACGGTTCCTGTGAAGTCGCAACAAGAACCAGTCGAGCCGACCTGCTGCGACAGTGAACGCAAGAATACCACCCACGACGCAAAGAGTCACGGGGCCAGCCACAGAGAAAAGCTGCTAGGGCAAGCGAAGCAGCCTCCGGACAATGCAAGCGAGCAGGCCGTGGAGCAACAGGATTCCTCCTCGCAGGATGAGCAGAGCAAGATCGAACACAGAAACGAGAGAGGAAGACACCTTTGGAGGCCACCCTCTACGGGGCCCGTGTGTGAGGGCATTCGAGGGGCAGTCTGCACGTTGGCACTGGACGGCAGTGGGCAGCCGGGTGCAGCCAAGCCGTCTGACAGCAGATGCATCTTCTGCAGCTCGGAGAGGTTCGAGCAGCTTACTTGGAGACGTGGAGGATCTTTGGTGACTCACTACCTGAACCGCCTGCAGCAGAAAGACCAACAGGAAGCATTGAGGATCATTGGCATACATGGAGGCAAAGCCATGCGGAAGGACTATGCGGCCCGTCTGAAGCGATCGCAGAAGAGACGCAATCCAGCACGGAAAAAGCGCGGCCCTCGAGGCAGATACAGCAAGAAGAGGCAGGCGACTAACCAAGCGGACGACAAAAAGAATGCGGCAGTTGCCTGGGGAATTCCGCCCGTAGCAGCCACGCAAAGGGACCTGGCGTGGTGCTGAGTTGCTGTCACATCGCATGCAAACTTTTCAACACGAGAATTGTGTACGACGCATGGCATGTGCTCAGGACAGTCCCATAGAGACCATCGCGTCCCAGGAGGAGGACCATAACATGTACAAGCGTCATGTTGCAGATGCATCTGTATGTTCTTACGGCTGCTGGGAAGGACCAGAACGTGCACGACAATCCCACCCATGACGCCGACAAGTGAGTGCAAACGCAGTGCCTGGCATGAAGCGTCCTGGTATACTTGTAGGCACTTTGTCTCGGTGCGGGCTAAGCCCCCGAGTTGTGCTTCTACACCAGCGACACGTGAGGCAAACAGTGCATCACGTATATCAGTACTCGCCCGTGTCCTTGCGTGGCAAAGTGGCAGCTGAACGTACCTGCATACATTGGCTCAAGAGGTTCAGAAAAGTCACAGTAGCCACTGCCGCGTCACACTGTGCCTGCTCTCACTGTTCGAGCCTGAGATGGTCTGCGCCGCACAGCTCGCATTCGTTCCACATGCAAGAGCTTGAGGCCACCGGCCTGGAGCTCCTTACAAGGCAAAGATGTGGTCTTGCGCCTGCACCTCGTGCTACGCAGCCCCTGGCTACACCAAGGATGTCGCACGCAGACGAAGTACGTGATGGCTGGCAACGCCCTCAGTTTAGCGCCGGCACCTGTATCCTCTTATAATTCAGTTCATCATAACTCGATCACTGCATTCCCCCTGCAGGGGAATTCCAGATCTTGCTCGTGGCAAGCGCGCTGCAGCCTCTATGTCCAATCCTCGGTCCAAGCCCTGCGCACGCAGACCCACGCAGAATGTAGTGAAGAGGTCTTCGAGACACGCGGAGGACAGTTCGGAGCGCGACTGCTGGCCCAGACCTCAGCCACTTCGCAACACAAGCGAATTGAATGTAACTCAGCCAACGCAGGGGAGTGCCGGATCTTGCGGCGCAGCAAAGGTGCTCGGCTCGGACAATCGTCGTTCTCATGTTGTATCCTCAACTCAACTGCGCCCGCACTTCAGGCTAGAAGCAGACCCATGCAACGGCACGGATGAGATGACGCAGAAAGAGATGACCGCTCTTCTCTTCGAGGCATCCTGGCAAGATCCAGACCGGTTCGTGCAGAAGATCCAAGAGATCTATGACATATTCGGCGAGGAGGAAGGAGACAGGCAGATCAAATTGCTGGAGAATCCTTACGGGCATGGCAGAAGTCGAGAGTTCCCCAGCTATGCGCTCACCATACTGCCAGAGTACTGCCACAAGATCCTGCACCGGGGCAAAACGTGGGAAATTCGTGGTCAAGCCTGTCGAAAGCATCTGAACGAGCGAATCTGCATTGCAGAATCCGGTTCAGGCATGCTCGTCGGGGAAATGACGATTCGGGAATGCCTTCGTGTCAGCAGAGAAGATCTTGAAGCAAATCCGCAGCAGCACATGATCGACAACCTGGACGTCATCCAGTACAAAACAATATATGCTTGGATTGTAACGGATGTTGGAGCCTATTCGCAGCCGGTACCATATCAACGTCCGGTGGGGACCGTGAACTGGGTGGACCTGAACTACTACAAGACTGAAAGAAACTCCAAGAAACTCCCCGGTGCCACAGGATGCGCTCGCGCCGACTGCAATTTCGGCTTGGGCAAGCAAGGGGGACGTGGAAGACCATATGTGCGTCACTCAGATGGCACCAAGTTCGAACACTGTCTCTTTTGTTCCAGTGACGCTTTGCTTGCAGCTCTGCATGATCACGATGGTCAAAGCATCCACAGAGCTCTGGCCAGACTGGCACGAAGAGATGCTGCAGTGCGCAACGAGGCATTTCAGCGCATCCAGAACGTGCTCGAAGCCCGAGTGGCGTCCAGGTTCGCACCTCGTGGACAGAAGCGCAAGCTCGCAAGCCTGTCATGGGATCGGGTGCTGGAACATCGACAGCCGCTGATACGTGTAGATGAGCAATCACGGGCTGCTTTCGCTGCCCAAGAAAGCAAGTGTAAAGAACGCCTTCGACGCAAGTTTCCCTCCATCTACGCCGAAGATGCTCGCGAGGAGTCGAAATGGATGCCTCCTCGCGCGGCTGCATTCCGCACGTGGTGCCTGGAGGATTCCTGGCGCGCGTGTTCGAAATGCAGGCGCATGGTGCCGCAACCCTTCCAAGCCAGCCACGCCAAGGGATCTGCAAAGAGGGACCCACAGTTTCCGGCATGCAGTCATTGCAAGTCGGCAGGAAGCCAGGGTTACTGGGCTCCAACTCCAGAGGACGTGCCGCGGAAGTTGCGCAAGCTTTCCGTCAGGATTATCGAAGCACTTCGACCCTTCGACGTGCACACTGGAGGTACGTTCCGAGCACCAAACGGCTACCTGGTCCACAGTGACATGATGCAGTTTTCCTTCAAGCGAATCTCAGTGGAGGACGCTTTGGCAAAGCTATCGAAACGAGAACGTCGACGAGGAGAAAAAGCGCTCCTATACTTGTTGCGATCAAGGAGCCCTTCGGCGTACGCTCGCTTTTGGCAATTGCATCATCGGTTTCTGGACAGCAGGCACCGTGCCATCCAGCGAGGGGAGACATGGTCCGGAGCACCCGTGAAGCGTCTGCCTGCCAACTTCATCGAGACCGTAGGGCTGGAGTGTGCGCTGTGGCCACACTTATACTGGTCCCTTGACATGACGGAAACGTATGTCAGATCCCAGGATGCACGGAGACTCAGACGGGTTCGACAGTCCCTGGATGCAGACATTGCAGAAGAGGAGGGAGACAATGCTGACACGGGACCTTCGGTGGGTACGAGGCAGAGCGCCAAGGCGAGCTTCCTGGCCAAAGTACACTCGGCAGTGATCGGATACAACTCTGACGAGAAATTGCTTCACTTCGTCTATGACCTCTGGCTGTTCACCACTCTGGGCGGGGCCAAAAACTCCGCCGGCATCGGCATTCGGGAGGCATTGGCCAGCAAGCCGTACTCGCCAGAGATGTGGCGCACGTATCACACGGCGCTGGTGGACCTCCAGAAGCAGATTGGATGGCCCAGCCTGTTCATTACCATAGCACCCTACGAATGGTCTTTTCCCTACCATCGTTGGCTGGAGGACTCCGGATCGAAAGAATGTAGCCTAGCGTCTTACGTGTCTAAAGTGAGCNNGGAAAATGCAACCTCACCTGGCTCAGGACGAACTCGCCAAAAGCTTGAAGGAACGGCTGCACATGCCTGTCGCCGAGACCCTTCACTTGGCTCATGTACTCACCCATGCTGTGAAAGGATTGCTGGCGAACAACAAGGACGGCATCTTCACATCTGGACGAGGACATGGAAGAGTCTGCTATTGGGTGGCTAGGCTGGAGTTTCAAGATGGCAAGCGTAAACGAGGCGTCCATCGCGACCCTCAGTTCTACCACGGGCGCGGAACTTTACACATTCACATCCTTCTTTGGCTCGAGAAGATGCAAGATATGGAGCTTGCCTCCAGCATTCGGGCAGACTTG